GATTAATTTGGAATTTATTATAGGTCAATTTTTTTTTTAATACCATGGATATGTATATAATTTGTCTTAAACCTAGATTGACATACCGTCTTCGCTCAGAAGGTCGTATCCCATTTCGCCGCCATTTAATTTCGCCGCGGTACCATTTCGCCGCCAAATTAATCCCATTTTGCCGCCGACCCATTTCGCCGCATAAAATTATTTTTGTCTTAGAACATGGTTATGAATTTGTGATTTGAAAAGTGATAAATAGACACAGAGAAATATTTATCAGAAATATTTATCGTTTGAAACGATCTTAGTGCTATACTATCTCAATTCTGAAGTTATCAATTGATAAATCCCCAATAGTTATATAAATAAAATAGAATGAATAGTGTGTCGTCGCAGCGATAATTGCAAAGTTACCACAGTCAGTGTCATATGATTATCACCAGTACGTATTTGCGCATTTACAGTTCACAATTTTTAAATAATAATGTCAAATATTGAATATATTTCTACACAGCGAAAAGGGGAGTGCCTTATTTTTAATAACTATTATTTTAGAATTGATAAAAAATAAAAAATATTGGAAGTGTATTGAATACTGTGGAGCTTGTGTAATAATTTCAGATGAATTCACTGTACATTCCGATAAGTTTTGTAATCATAACCACAGTCCTCGTCCAGTTAAAATTGAAGAAAAACGTTTTAAGGCCAAACTTCGTTTGAGAGCAAAAGAAAACCCTCTTGAACCAATTCCGAAGGTAATTATAAAATTTTTAATAAATAATTTTCGAAATATTTCACTTATTTTAATGCTGTTTATAGGCATTGAAATATTCGTTTTTGTTTATTATTTTTGTATATGTATTTTATTTATTTTGTAGGTATAATTCATAAAAATGTTGTGCAAATAGCTAAGAGTTACTTATTAACCACTCTTATTTATTTATTTATTCAAAAAAAAAAATAATAATAATTTAAAATAATAATTATACCTACTGCATTGTATACGCAATAATTAAAAGAAAAGTTAGGATTTTTAAAATTAAATTATTTAAATATTAAAGATGTTTAATAATTACCACGACCACAATCCACACTTATAGTTTAATATAAATTTTTAATTTATAAATTCACTTATTTATTTCAATAGATTTATAAAGAAATTTTTAAGACAAAAAGGAGATTGTGTAACCCAAAATGAAAGAGAAGAACCAGTAGCAACATATCAATCAGTAAAATCAAGTATTCATCGAAATAAACGTAAGGAAGTGCCTCCACAACCTGAAAATAGAAAAGACCTACATATACCAGGTTTATGGCGTCAAACATTAGATGGAAGAAATTTTATTTTATGTGACGAATGACGATGGTGTAGATGATAAAATTTTAATTTTTGGAACGCCAGAAATTTTCACAAAAAATTTTAATACGTATATTATAAAACGTAAATGTATAACAATTAATAGGTAATACTAAACTATAGGCAAGTATAATATATTATATAAATATATATTTTTCTTCTTAGTTGAGGTGTGGAAGAAAAGAGTTTTTAATAGTTCTGACAGTCATGATTATTATGCATTTATGAAAATATCAATGCGTTCAAATCACTGGTGTTATCTACCACGCATCACAATCTCATAGTTCACACTTCACGTCATTACAATAGGAATATTTAAAAAAAAAAAAATAGTATAAAAAATCAAATTATTTTGCAGATTTGGGATAATATTATTATGAGTATTATCAATTGATGAATTAATGATTCATTTGAAAATATTATTATTACTTATTAACTACAAATAAAACAATGAATAATTGTTGAGTAATCTTAAGTTGAGAGTTAAGGAGTTACTTAAAAAATAAATTCGGCGAAATGGAACTGCGAAAAAATAAATTCGGCGAAACGGTACCGCGGCGAAATTAAATGGCGGCGAAATGGGAGCTGACCGCTCAGAATCGTTTTTTTTATACAATGATATTGTATCATTGAATTCAAATTTAATAGCATCCATTATGCAGTGACCCACTTGTAACCTACTGTACAGCAGAGCGACATCCACTTACCCACCTTTTTTTTTTTTGCTAATAGATTATCTTATCTTGGCATATCTCACATATCGCGCCATTCTAAAAAAATAAAGAGAAAACAATAAGAATTCAGGGACACCAAACCCTTAAAATTGAAAAATGACGATATATGGTCGGTCTTCTTGTATACTAACAGTACGAAATATCCAATTTCATCTAATTTTTTAATTGAAATGTCTATAAAAAAAATTGTTTGCATCATCATGTTTTTTGTTGTTTTTTAGTTTGCTTTAATCATAGAAAACCGTATGAGGACATTGTGTTACATTTTCTATAAACTTAGATATTATAACTGAAAATGCCTAACCTACATTTTAAAAAATAATTTCAAAATTTTCAAAATGTTGTCAAAATGTGTATTTTAATAGCACATGTTAAACAAATTATGAATACCTATGTATTTTTGATATTTTTTTTTTTATTGAGCTTGAGCCCTACAACTTAGGCCATTAGCTATTTTTTGTTTTTGTTTGTAAGTTTTTGTTGGTATGGGGGAACACGTGTGTTTGTTTCTGGCAGAATTGTTGATTAAGTAAATGTAAGTAAATCTATATAGATTATAGGTCCATATTTAGTACGCACTAATGAAACTGAGAGTTGAGACACCAACATTATGCAACTATCATATTTTCCGATTGTCCTCAGTGGCTCAGTTCTCAAGTATATAAACTTATCATAATATTAACTGTCACTATTGCGACTATGGCTATTATTGTTATTATATAGTTTGGATACAGTTACAATTATCTTATTTTGTTGTATACTATATCAAATTCGCATATTTCCGTTGTGTATCATAACATATGATACGTATAGGGTGCTGCATTTGAAATATTATTTTTAAGCTAAACAATATTTGTTATACGTCAAGAATATTATGCATAGCCAGTATAGGTATCAATAGAAATATATTTAAAATGCATGTCATCGCAAAATCTGAGCCTATAGTTTTATCTAAGACTTAAATTATGATTGATTTCAGATTAATTGTCAGGTACTATACATGTATATAGTTTAATACTTTTTTATCGTTCAAGTTTAGAATTTTAGATGTATACTCACCACAACTCATAAACATATCGTACAGAACTACTTCTAGTCTGATCGACTGAGTTATCCATTCACTATTCAGTATTTCAGTATTCAGTGTATTATTATGTACTTATTTAAAAATGTTCAATATAATATTAACTGAAATATAAGTAAACCTGTATACAGCTAATAGCATTTACGTAGCTCGATATAGGTTAGGTTAGTCGTATATCGTTATAAATTATAATCAATCAAGTTCAGTATTTCATAGGGTTCGCAATATTATGTTGCGTTATTATAGGTTGAGTTGTATGTATATAACATGTTATTATAGTAACGTGTGTTATAAAAACTAAACGACACAAAAATGGACGTAATGGTTTTATCACACATTAAAGTATTAAACCGCATATAGGTACTGTAATGATGCATAGGTATAACGATGTACGCGGCGGAGGGCTCGAAATGTTTGTCGGGGTCTCGTTTCGTCTCACCTGCTGCAGCGTTATAATAATATAGCAGAAGGGGAAACCGTTGGACCGCAGAGCCGATCACGTAGTTGCGTGGCGCGACCCCTAAAAACTTTTACCCCGCGCCCACCATTTCACGATACCCAACCACACTTACCCCACTACAAACCTCTCATGCACCCCGTCAACACCCCCGTGAGCGAGCCCGCTCGCCCAGACGTGACGTCACCGCAGTCGGCGTGAGGGTGTCGCGCGACGGGGCGGCGCGGCGTGGCGCCACGCGATCGACCGGCCGGCCGGAACGACGCGGACCCTCACCCCCGTGTAGACACGGTGGCGAACCTGAGAACCTTCACGTCTCGTCCCTGCCGCCGCCGCGCGCACTCCGAATATTTTTATCACGGTCAACTACTGCTACGACAGTCGGCGCTCCGCGTTGGACGCATGTACGCGCGTATACGGTACGGAAAGTGCATCGCGGTGCAAGATAATCGTTTTCGTGTCAAGTCACTCGTTGGCGTCGGCGGTACCTTTTCATGGCATCTGCCCAGCAGTAATAAATAATAATATTATTACAATAGTATCGACCGAGACGAGGTACGCGCAAAGCAGTGCACGCTGTAGACCGTAGCGCGTACACAATAGCAACTGCACGGGAACGTTTATTACAATAATATACCGAATACCACGGTTACCGACTCGGCTGTACAGGTGTGCAGGTTGTGACTTGTTGTAGTGGTGTCGGTGGAGGTGGCATGTGACGGCAGTGGTGGAAAGGTGAGGAACCCGAGAAGATCTTTTATGTTAGGTACCTGCTTCGAGTGGTAAAAGGACGACGTCGCTATACAGACCGGAGAGGATAGTGCACGGGCGGGGAGGTGTTGTATTCCTGCGGTGTACCTACAACAGTGACCGTGCGGAGAGCAAAGATTAGTCATCAAGGTCTTTGTGCGCGCGGGTTGGCTAGGCACGTCGGCAATACCGGTTTCTGCGCTCGTGAAGGTGGCCCAGTGTGTTTGTGTGCCTTCGTATTATTATTTTATATGAACGTGTTCGCTTACTACTATAACAATATTATCATTGGTGTATACACGACAAGTAGAAATTCGCGTACACCTGCAGCTACCGAGACTGCAGAAGAAGGTGCGCATAATATATACGTTTGTGCGTCGTCCGTATAGTTATTGTATTATTATATAGTTCTCGTTCTGTCGCGTATAGTCGTCCGCCACCGCGTGTTCTAACGTTAGTAGAAGATCGTCGCCGTGCAGTTTTCTAAATAATAATATATATGTTTAACTCCGCGAGTGTTACGTGCTTGGTGCGCTCTTCGACTGCAAGTGTTTTGCTTTGGAAATCCGTTGTGCAGCGCAGTACCATATAATATTATTATACATAGCAGTGCGAGTGACAGCGATGGACACCGTGCGGGCCGGAAGTGCCCCGAATTTAACCGCCTACATAGAAATGGACCGATTTGGCGGGATATCAAAAGCCGGCGAAAAACTCACTCAAAGGTAGGTTTTCACTTTCGTATATATTATGTAATACTTATATGTCTTGTCCCTGTGTTATAAGTCGTGAGTTTATGACCTACCTGACCGTATATGGGTATTATAGTATTATAATATAACTATGGATCTGGCTGTAAGCTAATACAAACGAACGCGAATTTTATTTCAAATAAAAAAAAAAATGATTGTCTTGCTAAAGTATAATTGTATATAATACTGTTAATTTGTTTAAAACATTTGTCTGTCAATTGCTATTAAACTATAAGTTAAACATAACATTTTAATTTCTATGCATATAAAAGTAAGTAACTATAAACCGCCATACCATAAACCACCCATACCTACATATACCTACAATTCGTTGGTTTTATATAATATTATACGAGCTTCGGTACTAAGTTTAACTGTAGGTCTACCTATGGCATTGTGGCTGTACATCTAATTCAGATACCACTTACAATAATATTAGTTTCAGAAATAAGACTGTACCTATATATTATTAGGTATACATATTATAAACTATCTGTAGGATTAAGCGATGAAAAAGTAATAATAAGTATTCTGTATATACTATAATTTAGACTAGAGATGTTCCGGGTCCTCCGAAATTACTCGATATCATATTTAAGACCCCCCCCCCCCTCCCCAACGCCTTGGACCTTTTTTATGGATGCAATTTAATCAATTTTTTGGTCTTGCATAAATCATGATACGTTTTTGTATTTTGGCACAAGATATAAGATATGATCAGGGGCGGACTGGCAGATCGGGAGATCGGGAAATTTCCCGATGGGCCTGTCGAATAATGGGATTATAGGCCGTCTCGGGCGGGGCAGTTTGATTGTACAAATAACTAACTTATATTATGATTTTTAAATTTTAATAATATAGTATTCAGTGTTTGGTGTATTTAAAATCTATAAAATATAACATAAATAATACGATAATAATCATACCAAAAATTATATTTTGTTGTTCTAAGACACAGTTATAAAAATAATTTTAGTTTATATAAATAGAAATAATAGCCTATAACGCATCCGGCAACCATTTGGGTTTGTATCAGTGCCGGTATCACTATTTGTTTGTATACGATAATTCAATATAATATTATTTAAAAATAATATATACTGTTTTCGTATTTCGTTCACGAGTCTGTCGTCTGTAATATTGTAATAACTAATAATAGTTAATTTATATTTTGCATTGACTACTGGAAAGAAGCACGTACCTTTTGAATATTTACGATCCCGATATCGCCTTTTAAAAGGTAAGATAAATATAGAAAATAATACTATTTTAGACAATTTTGTAAAATTTGGTTTGCGCGGCAAATGGCAATACAATGTGAGTCGTGAACTATTTTACTAAATTATAATTAATAATATATTAATATGTATGCAACAACAACATATTTAAATAATAAAATAAATATGAATTAATTTATTGAATTTTTAATTGTTTTTTATACTATAAAAATGAATGAAATTGTCTTCTCGGAACAGAATGACACGGAATAATCTAGAAGCTTTTGTCTTAATGGCTACAGAAAAAAATATTTTAATTTATATACAGCACCAAATGGTTATAGACCGTTTAGCCTAAAAAAGCAAAACATTTCATAAATTATTAATTCCTTAAGCCAATAAATTAAATATATTACCTAAAACGCATGATATATCTGCTGTTATTATTTATATTTTGAATATGCAATGGAAAAAATGTGTCGTATTTTAAACATAAATGTTATAATAAGGTTAGACAATAGTTTTTGGGCCACTTTAAAAAAAATTCCCGGGCCGCTCTAAAGAAGCCAGTCCGCCCCTGGATATGATGAAGGGACATGGCTCATAGTAACTAATAACCATATTACTCATAGGTCACATGCCTTTACATCGTATTTTATTGAAACTTGATGCTACTGGCTATACCCCTAATTAGATTTATTGAACATTTTATTTAGCTATAGTTATTCTTTAAAGTAGTATTTTTTTGATTCTCACAATTTTTTCCTAGTATATAAGGAAACAGTATTATATGGTAGTTGGAAATAAAATCCAGGTAAAAAAATCCCAGTAGAATACTGGGGATTAACGGGCACGATAAATGTAAATAAATATAAATAATTCATAAGAATTATTTTATGAATTATTCATTAGAAACAAAAATTAATATTGTATATTATGTTAAAAATTGTCTTATAGGTTTACCCTAAAAATATAATATCCCTATACATAAAAATGTATGACACTAAATCGAGGGCTATAATATTAATAATAATAAAAAAAAAAAACCAACCTGAAAAAATCTCTGATCTGCTTTTTATTGTATCTTTTTAAGAAAATCAATAATGTGATAATTCAAACAATAATTATTATATGCCTATTAATATAAGAAATATTTCCCGTGCAGTATAATAATTAATCGTATTATATATACAATAGGTATATGTTTGTCCACGTTCCTTATGAGTCTTACCGATTTTTTAGTTAAAATTAAACTGAGTGTGATAAAATGATAGGTATCCTACCTATCTAGATAATAAATCTAATATATTGTTATAATTGTTACTATTCGATTGATCGAATTTTAAAGCTTAGATATATTGTACATCATAGTCGTATGCATAATATGTAACTTTGAACTATAATTAAATACATTTTTATAATAGTCAATACCTTTTTATTACATAATATAATAGTATATTATAATCTGTGTCATAACTCTTAGCTTTATTGATTCAATCATATCGATTCTGATATAAATAACGCAATAAGTTTATTTATTATTTATTTATTACGATTTTCTTGTTTACAGTAATTACAATAAATATATCAGTACAAAATAATAGAAAAATACTATAAAGTTTTAAAATAATATATATTATTTATTTATTTGTATAGGTAAATTATGCGTATAAATTAGTATGAGTATAGTTCGTATGTTATGGTTACCTATATTATAATATTAGTTGTCCTACATCTTATTATAGGTATGAACATTTTTACATGCGTTTTACTTTTAAACATTACACCGTATTGTGAAAGTTATAATTCTCAAAAATCAGCAATAACGTTATATTTTTGAATGTTAAACATGTTACTTTCTTAACCCTATTTTTAATTTCGTAGTTTTGTATTTTTCTAATTATAAGCCATAAATCATCAGTTTAATATTGTAGTATTGTACGACATATTTACATACGTTGCTGTATATTTTGTACAATATATTATATTATTACACATGATATATTTTATAATATATTATTGTGTATTAAAACTTGTACGTACTTGGCACTTATAACCAATCAACTATTATCCAATATGAGGCAATAGTTTCTGTATTAAGTATAAAAATAATTCCAAATGTATACTATAGCTATCAGTGACACAGCCCTCCCTGAAATTTAAGAAAACTTTTAAAACGCTTCAGTATTCTATGAACGTGTTACTTATGAGTTATGAAGTCACCATATTTTAAAATTGTAATTTTTATGAAAGTTCCTGCAAAAGTCTAAAATGTTATTTGCCCACGGCATCGACATACCAAACTTATAATGAATTCTAGTTAAGTCTTAACTTTCTTAGATTCTGAGTGAAACGATGAATGTATTGATTTTACAATGATGTGTGTTTTTTTTTTTATTTTTTTTTTTATTTTATTTTTTATTTTTTTGTGTCTGTGTACACGATAAGTAGTCGAAATAATGCTTCGATTTTCGACTTCAGTATCTTGTTCGATTGGAAAGTGAATATCGTTGGTGCATTGGGGAGGTCAAAATTTAAATTTCCCAGTAGTTTTCAAGAGCGCCGGGAAAAACAAAAGAAAAATTAAGGAAAAACGGGAATTTTTACGCAAAATCGATTTTTCAGAAAATTGAATTTGGTTTTTGGTGTAACTTTAAAACAAATGACCGTAGGTACATGCAATTTTCACTGGTTGTTTATATTTGCATCTTCTATACACGATAACATTTTCAAAATATTTTGATTTATTTTGAACAGTTTAGGGACATTTTCATTTTAATTTTTTTTTAGTTTTTTTTCTAGAAATATCAATAAAATTTTATTTGTTGGTTGCGAAAGCTTGAAAATTTAATAGAAGGCTCCTAATATATTGTTTCAAGGGCAGATGAAAAATATTAAAAATCCTTAGTCACAATTTTTTTTATAAGCATTTAAAGTTCAAAAATTGACAAAATATGGAAAAATCACGAAAATTAGCAAATTATTTTGAGTTAAGAATTCGTAAAAATTTTTCTTTTTAAATCTAAGATTTGAAAATCTAATACAAGATTACTCATAAGATTGTCTACCTTTATCAATAAAAAAATCTCTACCGGAAAGTCAAATTAAATTTTTATGAGCGTTTGAAATTCAAATTTTTACAACATTGGATATTCACTCGATTTCTCATGTGGCAATTTCCTTTTTTTGTTGTAATTAAAAAACGAATTACTGTAGATACATGAAAATTTCACTGAATGTTTATATTAGCATTTCCTATACACCATACAATTTTGAAAATATTTTGACTCTTTTTGAGCCGTTTACGGACATTTTCAGTTTTCAATTTTTTTAGTTTTTTTTTTCTATAAATAATAATTAAATATTAATTAAGTTTTATCTGTTGGGCCAAAAAGTGTAAAAATGTAATACAAGGCTCCTGATATATTGTTACAATATCAGTTGAAAAATATTAAAAATACATAGGCACAATTTTTTTTTATAAGCATTTTAACATCGAATTTTGACAGAATTTTTCAAAATCTCGAAAATTATTAATCATCGTAATTAATAAATTATAAAATGTTCAGTTTTTATAGCTAAGGATTGAAAATTTAAAACAAGATTCCACGTAAGTAGTTAATTCTCTTACCGAAAAATCTAAAAAATATACAATCACAGTTTATTTTTATAGTCATTTTATGTTCAAATTTTGACGAAATTACATATTAAAAACCTAGTTATTTTGTTGTGATTATATAATATTATTCGTGGGTA